AAAATTCATAGATTATATAATTACACGCATGGTACTACGATTGTCGTAGCATAACTTGGACATATTTAGGTTAAACTCTGTTCGATTAACAAGCGAATACGTTCAGCAGTTGGATTATGAACAATGTTTTCTTGCCGCCTTGTTTCTAAATATTCCCTGTCTACACGAATAATTCTTCGTAAAATCTCCTCGTCGTCAAACTCCTCACCAGCCTCTTGGCAAAAATTATGTAATATGCAGCATGACAATATTACGTCTGGAATGTTTTCAAATCGGTTGTCCAGCCTTTTCAAAAGTATTCTCCATCTGGCCTTAAGGATTCCGAATGCCCTTTCAACGGTCGATCTAGCTGAAGAGAGAGTCTTGTTAAATCGGCGTTGTGAACGATTAAGATTAGCACCGTTAGGGTAAGGCTTCATTAACCAAGGTAGTAGAGGGTATGCACCATCACCAAGCAGCAAAGGCCGAACTTGAACTCCGTTGATTCTAGCAAGTGGTTCCGTTAAAATCTCACCATTCTGTGCCTTCTGAAAAATATCACTCGAGCGCAGAACTCGTGCATCATGCATGCTACCTGGATAACCAATTGCGGTGTCCAAAAACGTGAGGTTTTGCCCTACGACTGCCTGCAATATAACACTATAGCGATGATGTCTATCGAAATAGTCGAAAGGCTCCTCCGGTGCAATAATTTCAATATGGGTACCATCTATTGCTCCGACTGCTTGCGGGAACCTGCAATTATCTTGAAATACCGCTAACGCTCTCGTAGTTTCATCACATCTGACGGGAAATTTGATGTAATGCCTTGAGCGCTTGGCAAAATTCCTTCGTGATTGTGACACAGGTCGACTTTCCAACATTGAAATGAGCAGCTATAGCGGTAATAGCGCGAAAGCTTGAACCAACCGCCAGTAGGCATAACGCAATAGCGACTCGCTTATGGGGCGGGATAGCCACCCGAAAAACGGTGTTTTCCTTGGCGATTTCTGGGGTCACAAAATCTACCAGTCGTAAGAATGTTTCTTTGCGCATACGAAAATGCTGCTTCCAGTAGCCGGATTGACGTTCGTCTCCAAATATCACCTCAAACCAACCCAGTCATGGTCTTGGAATCTCCCAAAATTGGCGTTGATTTATTTGACTTACAATTCTAGCAATAGCCATTATTGCTAGTGTTATGGTCCGGACGTACTGAAAATACATTATATTTTGGTTGATTCTTCGCAATGCAAGAAACAACCGTCTTCTCCTTCTAACAAGCGATCTGCGTCTAGCAGAAACGCGCTTTCTTTGGTGTTGGTAATAAAGCAATAGCAAGGACTCGTTCTCCATTTTGAGCGCCAAATATTTAAAACTGAAACCCTATATGAAATCTACAAAGTTATTTTTAATAGACTTTAGATTATTAGATAATTTATCTGTCAACATCAACGAGCAAGCACGCATACGTTTTCGAGTGTGACCGCGAGGTGCTTGGCTTACATTCCAACACGAGATTAGCAAGGTGTTCACGCAAGCACGCTAATCCGGTGGTAATCTTCAAGCACAAGCGCTAGTGTGGCCGCGACCTTAGTCATCAAAGATGACTTTAAACAATATATTATAGAGACAAGCCAATTAATCTTCTCGTGGAGATTGACCAATCAGGTGGCAGATTCCTGCGAATTTGACCAGGGTCTTCGTTGGCCGTTCCCCTCGCCATGAACACAGAAGACCCTGGGCACGAGGTTGGCTTCTGGCTTTTGAAGTTTTTGTTGCTAAGCAACATCTCAAATAACATGTAAGGAGAATTTTATTATTGATCAAATAAATAAATTTTGTTGTTGCCCTATAATTTCTTCTTATATTATAAAAGAATTAAAAAATTCTTAATTAGAGTCAAATTGGCTCCTTCGAAGAGTAACATTATCTTTTGGTAGAGCAGCAAGACTCTATTGTAGAGTCGTTTTGACCCCACCATAGAGTCAAAACTACCCTTAGAGTTGAAACAACCCTTCAGTCGAGTCAAAACTACCCTATTGAAAAAGGACGGAAATGACCCCTAGGGGTCAAAACTACCCTTTTGAATTTACAGTGTAATGCAACATACTCGAGTAGCTTTAAAGTTACAGCTGCATTGACGCAAGGCCGTCTTCACGTCAGCTCACCGCACGCTAAAGATATAAATCGACTCTTATTTCCTACTGTTTCGAATTCTCATCAAAAGTTATTGCAGTTGATACCTGACGAAGAAAGGCAAGATCGTTGAAGAACCGTAAGAGATGATGAAGGTATTTAAACTAAACATGCACTTTTTATCACCTGATTTACCAAATATATGCGAGCCATTCTACGTGTTCACAAGGGCAAACTAGATGAATTCAAGCTCGATTCTAAATTTGCCTGGTCCTGTGTGAACCTCGGGTACCGCTTGATTATTGAATTGTCGTTTATTATTCATATTGTTGTTACCGAGAGAAAACTTGACGGCGGATTTGAGGATGAAACGATTGGATCGAAGTTTTCGTTGATACTCTCGACAATGGTTCTGCTATTTGGTCGTCTTAGTTATACCAAACAGTTTCAAACCTGATTTCCAAAACAATGTAAAAATTTATTTCTTTTTCTTTTTTTGTCTTTTAGATCTTTGTTTTCGTTGTTGTACTTGGGTGCTTCATATTTACAGATGCAAGAAAACTCGATGGATACTTTTGGAATGAAGACAGCGAAATTGGCGCCATAGACAGGTATATAATATTGTTTTTATGTATGTTTTTATAAATAATAAATAGCAAAAAAGCACTCGCTGATAAGAGCGGCTCCGCGTAAATATCAACCGTTACCGAAGTCATCATTATGGGTCGCTTATTAACGAAAAATAATTTTAAGATCGATTGAACGAATATTGAGGCTGGGGGGAGCTCGTTTTTGCGGAGAGGCTCTCAGACCAAGAAAATAGGTAGGAAAATAGGGCTGCGCTTCAGCGCAATGTGACGGGGAAACACAGCATTGTTCCCCAAACCAAATATATCACATTAAAGGTAGGTAAATACTTCCACTTTCTTGTGATTTTCAAAACAATCGAAATAATGTAGAATTTTTGACAGGTTTTTGAAATTTAATCTTCCTATCAGACATTTTGTGACACCCGATTTAAGCAATTTTCGAGCGCGATAAATCCAGCATGATGCATGTTTTTTTGGAAAGTTGTTCTATTTTCCAATAAGAGTAACTCATGGCCTCTAGAATGACGCCAAAAGTTTTTTTGGGAACTCTAAATTTGCGCCGTTGAAACAGGGTGAAATACGACCACTTGAGCGCCAAGATGACCTTTGACACACATCCGCTGAGAGCGGTTAAACACACAATATGTAGCTAAAAGTTTATTTTCTCGGTAGATATAACAGACAAAACGACATCCAGAATTAAAATAATTCATAAACAATTCAATGTGGTGAATATCAGTATCAATATTTTAATAACTTGCACTTTTTACCCAGGTCTGAGGCGTGAGACTTTGAAATATATTATCAATTTACTGTGAGATAGTTCAACATTAACATTGGATTTGTAGAGGAAGACAGTTCTTAAGTATAACTTTATTTAAACTATTATAAAAATAAAGACCAATTTTATATACGGATGTGTGCGTTGAAGCTTCATGCATGTGCTAACGAAAATCAGAATGGAAATTTTATCTAGCAACGTATATATAGAGCGGATATAGACTGGGTGACGCGCATTTCCTCTTTTTTGAGGTGAAACAGAGAATGTAGTTGTAACATTAGTTTTTTTTTCTCTCGTAAACCATCTCGAATCGGAACATGATCTGGAAACAAGAGTTTGGAAACTTATTTCTTATTATTAAATTATTGGAACATGATAAATTGAAAATAAGAATAATCTACAAGATGTGAATGACAATTAAACTAATGGCACGGTTTCAATCCACCTTTCCGACGGTCAAACACTAATCAAAAACACGTGATCAAATGACAAAAATTCGGACAAACACATGGTCGGACATACTATAGTTTATATGGAGTGTCAGGATCACATTGCGTTTTAAAGCTCTTTATATGTCTCAAAATGTAGAGGAAATACGATTTCGGCCGTTTCTTACCTTACAATAGTGTTTTCTAACGCTCACGATTCGAAAAAGGTTAGCAAAATGACATTGAACGAGCTAAAAACATACCTTCGCGAGCGCGGTGTTAGCGTCACTTAAAACCCGCGTTGGTATATAAATATTGCAATAAACAACAATAGTAACTCCGAATAAAGTAAGCATTTTCATTCAACGTTTCGACTTTATTTAGTCATCATCAGGAATGATTAATTTACATGTGCATGCGTTGTATAATATAGTATACACTATATGTAATTTGATATTGTTCAAGAGAAAACCGATAGTTGTTTGGATGCCTTTGTGCCATGATTAAGCTCCGGTTTTTGATGACGGATGGCGAGTGATTACATATAGTATATACTATATGTAATTTGATATTGTTCAAGAGAAAACCGATAGTTGTTTGGATGCCTTTGTGCCATGATTGAGCTCCGGTTTTTAATGACGGATGGCGAGTGATTACATATAGTATATACAACGCATGCACATGTAAATTAATCATTCCTGATGATGACTAAATAAAGTCGAAACGTTGAATGAAAATGCTTACTTTATTCGGAGTTACTATTGTTGTTTATTGCAACATTTATATACCAACGCGGGTTTTAAGTGACGCTAACACCGCGCTCGCGAAGGTATGTTTTTAGCTCGTTCAATGTCATTTTGCTAACCATTTTCGAATCGTGAGCGTTAGACAACACTATCGTAAGGTAAGAAACGGCCGAAATCGTATTTCCTCTACATTTTGAGACATATAAAGAGCTTTAAAACGCAATGTGATCCTGACACTCCATATAAACTATAGTATGTCCGACCATGTGTTTGTCCGAATTTTTGTCATATGATCACGTGTTTTTGATAAGTGTTTGACCGTCGGAAAGGTGGATTGCTACTGGGACGGCTTCTGATTTTTCGGGCAGTCTTTTATCTTTTTGTGCCCTTTCATCGGGTTCTTGCAAACTGCGCATCTCGGAGGAGCTCTTTTAGCTGACTTAGCAATTTTTGCAGCCTCTTCTTGTGCAAGAACTACTGAAACTAAAAAAATATACTAATTACAAATAAGCTTACTTTCCTATAATGCATAGTGTTTTAAATGCACCTACTTGGTGTTGTTGATGGTACGTTTTCAACAACAAGGCTTCTTCTAGCCTTTTGTTTTTCCACAGCCAACATTCTCTCTTCTTTATTTTCGAACATGGTGTTCATCGGTTCTGGTGTCATGGCATCTAGTGCAACGCATGCTTCTGCAAGTTGTTTTTGTGAATACGCCCGAACAAATGTTTGGTAGATGTCGTCAACGTATTCTAAGTAAGAAAAATAATTCATATAATAATAATCATCAAAATATAGCAATTCTTTGGAACAACTTTCAATATAGTGTGATGTAATATACCAAAATTTTGGTTTTTTTTGACATCTCTCACAGTGGCCTGACCGTCTTTAAACTTTGGGTATGAAATTTTCACTGCCAAGGGAATCCCTACAAAAGAAAATTGATTTTTATGTATACTATTCTGAATAAACCGAACAATTCGTGATTACGTGCCTAAGACATTACCTATTTTTAGCATCGCTCTCTTGGTCAGATTCCATATCCTCTTCGGAATGAAGAGCGTCATTTCCTGTTTCCTGTTTTTCATCTTCTGTGCATGTGGTTTCGTCTCCCGTTGTATCAGTGTCATCACCGCCGGTTTCAGGCTCAGAGTCAAACATAGTTGCTGTTCTTGATATTTTGCCTTTATGTTGGTCGTCATTGTCTAAAAGTATACTGCATTGAATACCTAAATAAATGAGAGATTTGTGACGCGCACATAAAATTCGCTGTACTTTGCCACTTTTGAACTGTGGTTTGCCATTTTATTTGAGGTTTCCCTGACCTGCGTGGGTGCAGGTATTTGTACAAGGTGTTATATATAGCAGTAATTGAATAACGCATGCCTTAAATCACGCATGCCTTGAATCACGCATGCCTCTGGCTTGTTTTCACAGCTAAATCTTATATGCTGACTTTATATCTTTTCAAAGTGTTTCGCGAAAAAACCCTTCAAGTTGACCATTTCTTACAGACTTATAGAGTCTCGACAGTGACATTATGAAATACCGATATTAAGCTGGAAATTTGAAACGTGTCATGGGTTTTCCCTGCGGTGCCAACAAAACATAATTTTAAAATCAAACGTGGATATACCTTTAGAACGTTTTTCCTTTATCATAGCATCGTACTTTTCTTTCAGCGTAATGTACTTGTTCCACGTTTTTCGTCTTTCTTTCACCAAATACGCACAGCCAAAACAACCACTTGTTTGGGTCGACATGTTATTCTTCAAGAAATATTAAAAAGCATCAGTGCGCTATATATATTACTGAGTTTAGTCACTACCATGCATAACACAACATTATTTAGCTGTTTAACTATAATCACTCACATCTTTTTTAGATTCCACTAGCAAATTTTCATCTGCTAAGTTAGCACTCCTTTCGTGTTCTAATGTCAACTCAATTTGTTCTGGCTGATTTACATCTGTTGCGTTACTGCTACCAGCATCGGTTGAATGCGTTGAAATAGCTTCTTTCACAACCTATTTTCATATACATTCGTCACTTTATACATTAAGCAATAGAAACAGTGAATTTTATAGTAAAAAGTAAAATCAGTATTAGAAAGCAAAAACTGAAAACTACTAACCATTCTCTTTGACCTCGCAGACAAAGGTTTGTCTTCAGAAGAAGTTGTATATTTCGGAATCGCGACGACTCCAATTTCGTCCGAAGCCAACCGCGCTTTTTTACCGGAGAGTTTGGAGAACATCTCTGTAAAGACCTCTTTAGCAAAATGTTCCGAACAAATACTCGAGTAGTCGAGTTCTGTGTTGGATTCCATTTTGCTCGCTTTATGCGCACGAAGTCAACCCACTGTTTGCGCCTCTTTCTTGCTTCGGGCCTTTCGTCTCCAGCGAAAGGTATAAAATGAAGCGAAATGCCCTTTTCTTTATCAGTGACATTCGAACAACCTCCTACTACACATCTATTCGGCATTTTTAGATCGCGTGTCCTCTTTGCGCTGTTTGATTCTAAATAGTCGAGTTGAACGCAATAGAGCTTCTAAATAGTCAAATTGAACGAGTCCCTATTGTGACGTCAAACGCAGTGTTTCGCGCCAGTCTCTTTTGCGCGGTTTTAAGGTTTTCCCGTTTGCAAATTTCGATGCTTAGACGGCAGTAACTTGAAAACTAAAGATGCAAATTCAAATCTGTTTTAGAACTTACTAACTCATTTCAACCATAGATTTAAAAAATTTAAATTCCAATTTTATGACTGGGCACTTTAATAGTCTTCAAAGTTCAAAATATTTCGGTACTTTCCAAAGTCACAAATTAAGTTGTTTTAGAATTATCGATCGACAATTAACTTGCTGGGAAAATCTTTTAGAAGAGATTTGTTGCGCGAATTGTGAAACACAATGTTTGCCAAAATATTGCAAACAATTATATAATTATATGAATTCACCACATTGAATTGTTTATGAATTATTTTAACTCTGGATGTCGTTTTGTCTGTTATATCTACCTAGAAAATAAACTTTTAGCTACAAAATGTTCTATAGAATCCTATAGAATATGCTATAGCATATTCTAAATCCCATAGAATATTCTATAGGACTTCTTATTCTATAGCATATTCCATTGCCATATTCTATAGAATTTAGAGATCCTATAGAATATTCTATTGCACATTCACATTAAATATCCAATAATATATTCTATAGAACATGCTGTACACAATATTCTATAGAATATATGTTATACAGAATGTGACCTTCATGCAATTTAAAATATAATATTTTTAGTACACTATTCGTTGGTCGAGAATCATATTCGCAATTTTTGTAAGGTTCTCTCGACATACTTTTTAAGTCTTAAAGTTAAAATTCTCAGCAGAAATCATTCGTTTTGTAAGGACAAATCACGGATATTTCACACATATGACATATCTCATATCTGTTTCATAATATATGCCCGTTCGCAGGTAAGATGGCGGGCGTTGGGCCAAACAAGCCCGCAAAGTTATGTGGGACTTGTTTAACCGCCACGCATTATTTTCAAATTTTGAGCGCGTCTTTGTATGTAGTTTGTCATCCGTTTATTCAACGTTTTATAACTGATACTGGTAGAATTTAGTGCGTTTTTCTTTCGTATTTTAACATAAAATACGCATTCTTTGAATTTGTCAAAGAGGAATCATAACGCGCTGTATTATGCGAGAAAAATCAGAAGATATGGATAATTTTGTGAATGCCTGAAAGGTGACTATGATCGCGAGAAAGAAGTGCCATGGCAATGAGAAATTTCTAAAGTTAAGAAAATAATCAAAAGTTCATTGACCCATCTACAACAACATGTGTAGCTAAAGTATTGGAATTCAGTGGTGAGTGTGTTTTGTATATGCTATAAATGCTATATGTTTGTATCGGCAACATATGTTCTCTATACCATTATTAATCTTATAAATTTTTATTCACCTTTAGATTAAACGTTTTATTTGAACATTTTATTTACACCTTTTATTTATGCCACTATAAATAGAGCCATTCCAACTAGCTCTAGATAAATTTTATATATCATTAAAAGTGAATTAAATATAAGCTAGGTCTCAAGTGTAAACCTAATTGTGTATTTATTGTTAAAATTTACAGATTTCCTTATGTCCAAACATCACACTAACCAAAGGTCAAAATGGAGCTCTATTAAAGCAATTTAATTAAATGTAAAAGATTTTGTTTATGCAATGCCGAGAAAGTTAAGAGTATATATGGTAAGCAGTATAATTGTTAGTAATTATGTCTGGTCCAAGTTAATATATCTTATATACATATCTTGGTTAAGTTATTAATGAGTTTTACTTTTTCTAGCTGTGTCTAAAGTATGGTGCAAAAAGGTTTGGGGGAAAAGAGGTTGACATATGACAAGTTATGGCACCAAAGATTAATAATATTGTGCAAGTTGAGAAAGCCAAGATGAAAGCATCTGGACATCAGTAACTATATGACATTCCATTTTCTACTATTTACATGTTCTGTACATGTAAATATATTTAGTATAATATTATAGCCTAGTTAAATTTTTGCTATTTTTTTGCACAGTCATTTTATTTGGTGGGAAAACTGCAGTATGGTAATAATTTTATCTAGAAAATATTGATTAAATTTATACATTCATAAAAACCAAGCTAAAATATTTCAATTTGAGTGACACCATATTGTTTTCAATTACTTAGTCCATAATATTTCAATTGAATCCCCCTCAAAATGTGTGAAATGTATATAATTTTCACTTAAGCCACCATTTAAGATAAACAGCCTTCAAACAACCGGCTGCAGTTGTTTTATCTACGAAACAAAATGATTATTTGACAGATTTACCAGAACTAGAGTTCCACATGCAGATTAAAGTTATATGGACACTTATAGGACTTGTTTTTTATTCTTTGTTGTATAATATATGTATTTCAATTTCTTTAATCTATAGATTTATTTATATGTAATTTAAGCAAGGCATTTTCATTAAATCTTTGCATCAATTGAACTTTAAGTAAATAAATTTGTTACATATTGGGAACATTTTATTTGTTTGTATGTCTCACTCTTGCCAGAAAGAAGTTTTGATTATGATGTTATAAAGTGATATATTTCAAAGTCAAAACGTGGACGAATATTGAATATACCATTTATCATCCAATAGCATATTTAATAGATTATCCTATAAAATATACTATAGAATACATATTCTATGGAACATTTTATCACATATTCAACAGGATCATTAATGGAATATTCCATAGATTGAACATATTTTATGGAACATTTCATATAGGATGTCATAGAATATGTGTTAGAATGTTCCATAGAATACCAGTATTCTATAGAACATTCTAATGAATGTTCTGAAGGATATTCTATTGAATATTCTATAAACATGGCATATGTTATAGAATATTCCATTAAAGGTGCTATAGAACATGTTGTAGAAAGTTTCATAGAATAGGTTCCAAAATCCCTTAGAATATTTGATGCGGAGCGAGCGAGCCTGAAGCGAGCGAGCGTAGCAGCAGTCTAATTGGCGTAGAACAGCTGGGCATTTTGTACGGAGCATGCGCGAACTTGGCATCCACGCACATCGTATAATTAAATAATGGCGGCTGATAGGAGTGAAGATAGTTGAATATCTTTTGCAGTAAAAGAAAAAATTCGGCACTTTACGAAAAGAAGAATATCATGTACGTGTAACTGCTGGTTTTGTTGTATCTTGTGGTACAAAACATGGCATTGAGAAAGCATCCGATGATCTAAATTAGCAAACAATATGTTGGTTTGTCACACTCACAACTTTGTTCGTCACTTTCGTGTGGGAATTAAGAATTTCACTCACAATGTGGTCGTCGTTGGTTAGTTAGCAGTTAAGGAAGCATTTATTGCAGGAAGCTTCAGTCATTTGTCAGCTTTCAGCTGGACATTAACTTAAAAAAGGCAACAGAATTTTCACATTGGAACTATGGCATGAGAGTATTGAAACCAAAATAGTTATGTTCATTTTATCAGATGTTGATCTTTCCATATTAATCAATTTATAAAATATATACAACTGTGCTATGCAAACAATCTCGACTCCTCTACATCATTTATTTAATAATTTTTATAAAATAAAGTGAAATATGGACAGCTATAGCAACAGTCTCAGGCCAAATTGAGCTCAAACATATATATTTCCACCTCCCTTAGGAAAATGAAAGGTTCTAAAGATTCCCCATTATTGTATTTTGATGCAAGCAATGTTATACTAAATTTTTGCTCAAATAATTTTATTATACTCTAGTTAAATGATCAGAAATAGGAAGTAACATATCCCACAGGCTAATTTATATGTTTGTTTACAGACAAAAATAAGTATTGTGCGCATTTTTCTCAGCATGCCCACTAACTTTTTTATGAAGTTTGAACAATATGGATAGTTTTAAGCCATGTTTCGGAGAGAGGCACTGGTAAAAATTTTAAAATATTTTTATATATGTGCCACATCATCACATAATTTCACAAAGCAAGCATGCCCATATTAAAGTTTGCGGTTAGATTCTTAAAACTTACCAAATCAATAGGACTTTTCATAATTCATAACAACCAATACTTGGACATATTAAAATCACTTTTGCAGCAATTTTTACATCATAACAAACTCATACAGAAGGAAGTTCGTAAGTATGTTACAACATGGCATTTTCAGAGCATAAGTGGTTTGTGAAATTACAACATCTAGAGCATTTTTCCCATGAGTGGCTAATGTTTCAATAAAACAAAACATGATTTAACTTTCATAAAATATACTTTATAACTGAAGGCAAAGGTCAGTTTTCACGAAATCGAAAGAAGAAAAGGTGTTATTTCTATAGAAAAATGAATGTTAAGGTACTTATTATTTCGCGTGAGAAGGGACAAATAGATTAATGAACACACCTGCGGAAACAACAATATGTCAGCTTCTGTCAAGAGTAAAATAGGGTTAATTCGTTGTTTGCATACTGCTGTAACCTGGTCCTGAAACTTTGACAATGAGTGAAATACTTCAACTTGTCGCCCATTTGCAAATAAAAATCCTTCGCAAATATTTACGCGAGAATGTCGTTATACCCTTGTATGCAAGCACGAGGACGTAATCTTTGAATACACCCTTTTATTTCCATGAACAAACCAGTAAAAAAGGAGAAAAAGCTCCTCAAAATACATGTTTTTCAATGGCGTTCGAAGAATTAAAATTCTTCTTGAAGAAATGCGCCTGCAATTTTTAGACAGCGACAACAAAATGCCCAGCTGTTTTGGCGTAGTAGGCCAGCCTCGTACCCAGGCGCTTTATTCGAAAACATAAAGGCTGCATTCAGCGTAATATAGAGATCTGTGGCTAAAATGTGCGAGCGCGCAGGGGTGCTTGGGGAGGACGCGACAAATGAAGGGCCTGGCAGAATATGCAACAAATATGGCGCCGGCGGACGACTTATTCATATTCATAGATGCAAATGAGCAAATTGCCGTACACCCTATCACCGGGCGGTACATTTGGGAAAGATTTTGTGCAAAAATTGTCACTGCGTTGTATTATTCATCATTTCTGAATATTAAGGCACAAACAGTTATTTACGAGCGCTGAAAGAAGAGAATCTACTCGAATATGCAATGATTTACATCAGATTTAGGTTGCACATTTCTTCCATCTGTTTGACTTCTTTATTAATTTGTTTTTCTTGGGAATCTGTTATTTTAACACCTCCAGAAACACTAAGAATTTTGACTTTGACCTGGTACGTTTTTATCATGCTGAGTTTAATTTGAAAAATTGTTGCAATTTCACATTATGGTCTTTTGCAAAGCTCATTAGCCAGTTCAATGTTTCCATCATCTAATGCAGTAATAGCAGCAGTTGATTCTGTTCATCTAAGCCATTTTCCATTACATTAAGTTCATTCTGCATTACAGAAATATTATCATTCTGCATTACAGAAATATTATGGTTTACTACCATGTGGTTTTATTAACAAATTAGTGTAAATAACTGTATAAAATGTTAAGAAAAATTAACTATTGAAACCTATGTAGAGAGTTATTCATTAATATTCCTTTACAACACCAACACTCTTTGGTATACTGTACTGTACATGAAATTCAACTGGTGTACTACAAAGCAAATCCAAGAAATTACTATAATACATGTATAAATTATATTCCATAGTCCTATTTACTACATTATACTCTCAAAAGGAGATAAATATTTTCACATCCAACAACTATTTTCTTTTTTGTAGAATGTGGGAAAATTTCTTTAATTCCCGAGTCAAAGTATTATTTTTATTATCAGAATGCCATGTAAACTCATTAATAATGTCTGTTTTTCATGGACACTGGAGTCTTCACAATAGTCATTAGTCCAACAACCTTTCTAGTTCAGAGCATAAATTTGGTGATTTATATCTTCCACTACCTATGAAGAGCATAAATATGTATAATTTATGAATAACAGTCCCAATTTCTGACAATCGAGTCTTGATATATAATATGTACTTATGTTTATTGTTAAATTCACACAAACTCCAAGCATTGGGGTTAAAGCATGTTTCCCTGCTGAAATGATTCTTTTCCTTCCTCTTTCTGTGGGGTGCTGGTAACAATCTGACCTGGAGTTTGTTATTGTATATCACTAGTAACACGCATATAAATTGCAACTTGATACCATATTTGATATAGAATGAAAATAAAAATGTATTATTGTTTAATTAATATCAATAGTGGAAATATTTAAATCTCAAGGCAACTAAGCACTCGCCTCTAACACTCAATTCTTGATTCTTCGATACCAAACGTATACCTTTCCTCCTCCGAGCTTGACGATACTTTTGTAAGGAAATTAAGACGAATTTAAATAGTGTTAAATACTGCGCGACTGCATAGTAACACAGAGGAGTATACTCATACACTGTTTACGAAACGAGATTTGTCAAAATAGTCGTAAAATAAAAAAAATTCAGTATAAAGCTACCTTCAAATGATAGTTTTTGAAACGATCGTTCCAAATCATCCATAATTTTGATCGCAGGTTCAATTCTTCTTCAAAATATATCTACATATTGTAGCCTTCACGCATTTCTCACTTTTTGCAAAAAAGGAGACGGAAATCTGCGTATTCTGCCAGGCGCTTCGTTCTCCCGTCGCGTCCTCCCCAAGCACCCCTGCGCGCTTGCACATTTTAGCCACAGATCTCTATATTACGCTGAATGCAGCCTTTATGTTTTCCAATAAAGCGCCTGGGTACGAGGCTGGTAGTAGGCAGTGAAAAGTAAATTTTTAGGGTTGCGTTGCATTGTGGTTGTGCGCAGTGACGCAGTTGTATCAGGCCTGTTTGTATGCGCAGTTGTGCACAAATTAATCTCACGTTTCAGTGATATGGATTAAATACCGATATGATTAAAAGTCAAACGTCCAAGTCTGGAAGAGGTACCAGATTTAACATACATTCTGTTTTTCATTCGCCTTTGTTTTCATTTATTATAAGGTTGACCTTTGCTTGTCGTTTTGCCTGATTTCTACTGTAATTTGTTTTGATTCACAATATAAATATTCGCGCATTGATGTCTAGATTTTTCGTTTAGCATATCGTACGACGCGCGATATACAGTATTGACTATCAAATCGTATTTTAAGTATATTGTTGATTGTTTTGCCTGTTTGGACTTATTTTGACTCAGTGTTGATAATCCAAGTTTATTTCTTCATCTTTGTCATTGCGCCTCGTGTTTCATCGTCATAGTGTGCCTGGGCAGTCTGCCGTATTCGAATTTCATTTATTTTAACTATTAAACTGTTTGTATTCTCGGTTTCATTTGCACTACGGTACTGCGCTTAATTTAGTGTGAGGTTTACTAGGGGTAAAAAGCTCAGGAAAAGCTGCAATTTTGTGTTTAAAATTAAAAATCCAGGTGTTATGTTTTACATATTTGTTATTGCGGCTCGTGTTTCGTTGTCGCTTGCCGCATGTAAATATAGTAAATGAGTAGCAATTCTTTGAAGGAACTGATTATATCTTCGATTTCATTTGCACCTCTGCGCTTAATAGTATTTCCTATTTTATCTTATTGTTAGACCACAGTTTAGTTTGATTATCGAAGTTTATTTTTACATCTTTGTCATTGAGCCTCGTGTTTCATCGTCGCAGTGGGTCTGGGCAATCTGCCATATACGAAAATACAGCAAACGAGTATAGCAATTCTTTGAACTATTTAAGGCACGACGACGATGCTGAAGGGTCGCCGAATACATCAAAGGTGGATTGCCCTGCAAAAGGAGTCACTTACATTCTTATTTTGTTCACTTTAGAGTTCTACTCTTGAGAAATGTAGAATGCCAAAGCACGTGTTTTGCGTTGATATTTTCCAATCCATATGGCATATTTTCATATTGACTTACTGTACTGATTACAAGCAGAATTCCAAGTTGCAAGAAAAATTTCACCTTAACACGTCCTTTGTTAAATTAGTTGCGACGTGATCGTGTGACACATATTTCACAAATTTCAACGCTTTTGTAATATTTTTTTAACAATTGTACAGTTTTGCCAATCCTGTTCTTATATAATATTTGGTTCAATTTTTTTTAATGCCCGCAGCAATCCTACCTTGCAGGTAACCTAGTCTATAGGATATTCAGTAGAGGATTTTAATGGGATATTCTATAGAACATTTTTGTAAGGGGTGTGTTTAACCGCTCTCAGCGGATGTGAGCCGGTGCGGAGCACCGTGCGACGGTACTATTTCCGCCCGGAGATTAGGAATTACACTCGGGACCCGGGAGAACATAGCGGAATCCAAAGTCGCCTAAATTTGGACCATGGCCGTTCAATGGTCATGGTACTTGTGCGCACGCGCAAAATTTGAACGAGTGACGACTGGTAATTAGCAACTTGCTGATTGGCTAAGACGAAACGTTTGTGTTTCAGTGAAAAACGGCAGCAATTTAACTGTCATTTTGCAAACTCTTTATCAAAAATCTCTTTGAATACAATTTTGACACAAATGATAGCGATATTATCTTTATTGAACGACGTTTCGATGCTAAAACGTGCATCATTTTCAAGTTATGATAATTACATTTAAATTGCGTTGATTTTAAACGGTTCATGTCACGTTAGTATATATGCGCGAGCATGCTTAAGATCATGCAGTTGATTAGATAAATTATATTAATTACATAAATTAGATCTAAATTTTGTCATTCTTAGTCTACTAAAATTATATATATACGTATATACGAACACACACAAAAACATACATATATACAGAAACTAAACATTTCCAGATTAAGTATAAAGTTTAGAACGAATAGAGTCCGATTGAGTGTTCAAAGATGGTGATAGTTCCTTAATATGCAACATCTCGAAAAGAAGGCAGTCATACTTTCCTTGGCATTTCCGAAGAATTGAAAAGCAACTCTCAATTCTCGACGTATCTTCACCATGACATTCGCTTACATGTTTCCCGATTACCGACCGCTTGTGTTCGCTTGTGACCGCTTGTGTTATTAAAGCCCATTTTTAAGAGTAGAAAGCTTAAGGATGAGTCAAAAGTCCGTGAAGTAAAACCATAGGCAGCCCAGACTTAGACTTGCGCGTGTAATACTCGCGCGCGTGTCGCGCTTATGTTGTTTACTTCGTCTATATATTATGACAAGGTAGGAAAGAGTTTATCAAAATATGACAGATATACCTTCGTAAATGTATAATTATCTAAAAAATTGCTTGAAGAAACGCCACAAAAACTACAACCTAATAATCACCGATGATTAAACTACATTATCCTGCAGTTTCCATGTTTTTAAACAACATCTAAAGCCTTCAAATTAGCGAAATAAAACAGGAATTCATACGGAATTTTGAGAAAACTATCCGAGGGTCACTCCGCCTAAGGAAACGTCATCTTTTTTGAAATATTAGCTAAACGCTCATTGGTTCTCATTGGTAGTCCTGCAGGTAAGCCAATGAGCGTTTAGCTAATATTTCAAAAAAGATGACGTTTCCTTAGGCGGAGTGACCCTCGGATAGTTTTCTCAAAATTCCGTATGAATTCCTGTTTTATTTCGCTAATTTGAAGGCTTTAGATGTTGTTTAAAAACATGGAAACTGCAGGATAATGTAGTTTAATCATCGGTGATTATTAGGTTGTAGTTTTTGTGGCGTTTCTTCAAGCAATTTTTTAGATAATTATACATTTACGAAGGTATATCTGTCATATTTTGATAAACTCTTTCCTACCTTGTCATAATATATAGACGAAGTAAACAACGTAAGCGCGACACGCGCGCGAGTATCACACGCGCAAGTCAAAGTCTGGGCTGCCTATGGTAAAACCACCAATTGTAAATCAACAGCGCGTTGTATATAGATATAAATGTGATCTGTGCGATGCAGATTATGTTGGCTACCGTCGGTAATCGGGAAACATGTAAGCGAATGTCATGGTGAAGATACGTCGAAAACTTGAGAGTTGCTTTTCAATTCTTCGGAAATGCCAAGGAAAGTATGACTGCCTTCTTTTCGAGATGTTGCATATTAAGGAACTATCACCATCTTTGAACACTCAATCGGACTCTATTCGTTCTAAACTTTATACTTAATCTGGAAATGTTTAGTTTCTGTATATATGTATGTTTTTGTGTGTGTTCGTATATACGTATATATATATAATTTAAGAATGACAAAATTTAGATCTAATTTATGTAATTAATATAATTTATCTAATCAACTGCATGATCTTAAGCATGCTCGCGCAATATATACTAACGTGACATGAACCGTTTAAAATCAACGCAATTTAAATGTAATTATCATAACTTGAAAATGATGCACGTTTTAGCATCGTAACGTCGTTCAATAAAGATAATATCGCTATCATTTGTGTCAAAATTGTATTTTGCAAACAATTTTTTTAAAAATGTTTCGAAAACACAATATGAAATGTGGAATCAAATAACAGATAAAACACTGGGAAGAGTTTAAAATATTATCAGAACTGGAAGAATTAGCGGTGAAAAGGAACAACTCGTTTATAATCCTTGAAATGGTAGGAGTCTATTTTGTTTATTTCGAAGTTTATTTTGTGTTTGCTGTACGAATACATTTTATGACCTTGGTACAGTATGTCGTTTTGCTCGGTTTTGCGAAGACGTAACCGACTATTTAAGGCTTTACATTATCGTTTTAACTTCAAAAAGAGTTCTTAAAAGTGTAATTCGGAGTTTTAATATAACAAATATCGCTTTAAAGTTGATAGAGTCGACTGCAATCACTGCATGAATTTAATAATCGAAAAACAACATTCGACGCTCACTGCTTAGTTATTTATATTATTTGTGCTGTTTTGATGTTTTGAAGGTTTAGCTATAGTGTAATAGTGAAGTATTAACTCTCACTTAAACTGTGAAAGTCTATAACTTAATGCAACGGAAAGCAGCAGGAAAACGGGTGATTTCACTTCACCTTTACAACTGTGTTTGTTTCTGAAAAATTTGAAACATCAGCTATCGGCTTTACATTTAGGATATTTCGTAATATTGAAGGTTAGGTCTGGCTAGCTCAGGAAATATTTTGCTTCGTTTGAAATGGCGAGGGGTTGCTGCATGCATGTATTTCTAGTACGCTTGATATTTTTTGGATTATCCGGAAATACCGGATTTTCTGCCTTGCGTCTTTCGAACTTTAGCCGGGCTGAATAGATTTGAGATCCGTGAAAACGTTTTGACCGATATAGTGAAAACATTTTGGTAGAGCTGTAAAAACGTTTTGGTAGGGCCGTAAACACGTTTTTGTAGAGCCGTGAATTGAACGTTTAAATAAGTATGATTTATTACAGACGTAAACAGGTTTCAGCTAACCACTCAAACGTTTCCGCTATATAGACGTGAATATTAAATATTTCTATACGACAGTCAGAACCTTTGTAAAGTTAATCGTATAAAACTACACATAAAAGTATATTCTATTATTCTATGTATCGAAGGCAAGCAAAATGGGTCGAATACCAAAGTGAGATCCCTATATATCACTGATTACAACATAATTTTTATCTAGCGGTTCTCGTTTCAAAATATGTGCATGTCTGTCGAGGATCTTTTAATAAAGTATTATCGAAGACATGATGCCGCTGCATTGTGATTTGCTATCTTGCATTGCCAGAAAAATATCATTTTAAAATAATCACTTGGGTCAATAGGCCCCAAAATCCTTGGGCCGGTTGTATAAAAAGGTAGTTAACTTTTAACTATAATTACTGGCAGAATTGGACAATCAGAATAATGTATTTTCTTGTTAACTACGATTTAACTATTTAAAATGTAGTTGAGAGTTTTATACAACCGGCCCCTGAGGTTTTTTCGCTATTATAAATGTAGCTATTTCCAGTGCATGTGAGAAGATAATATCATTATATAGGCTAGTTCAAGGTTTA